TTTCTTCGTTTTACCTTGCTATACCCATATGTTAATTACATTTTTTTAATAATGTCATGTTGTATTGTGTTAGTTTTATATCAGTATCTTGCTGCACTGGAATATTATACAGAAAATTTTAAATAAATTATATTCCAAAAATCAAGCGAGCATCACTTGATCTTTCTGATGGTGTAATGGGAGAGGTTGAATCATTATAGCCTTCTGCATTACCCTCAAATTATCAATTTCGCTTCATCTACATTTCCACCCTAAATGATATATCTGAGCTCTAAAGAATGAGTGTTTCAGTTTTTGAAGAATTTTTGCCCCGTTTCTTTAGGAGAGATATTGGGTTAAGCTGAGCTTTAGGAGAGGCTCTTGTTATAGTTCTAATTGAAATTTATATTCTAATGGAAATTTATAGTAGCACCTTTGTTCCTTCCATTGAACAGTTTATACTTTTAAAATGACATTCATTACTTCATGGTTCATCATAGAAACACATATGAATTCTGCTGTTCCTTTCACTAAACAGTTTATGCATTTGAAATGACAATTACTGCTTCTTGGTTCATTAAGGTGCATATATGCATTCTTTTACTAGTGTTGTTTTCCATTTCTGCAGTCCAGTTGGGACGCTTTGTGTCTCAAGAGAAGATTATAGTTTAATCCAGCGAAAAGGATTGGCTGTTGTGGATTGCTCTTGGGCACGCTTGGATGATGTACCATTTGTGAAGCTGCGTTGCACTGCTCCTCGCCTCTGTATGAGCTTTGGTTCTTCAATCAATTAGCTAGCTTGGAGTAGGTTATTTATAGTATGATATGGGGCTACAGACAACCAGGAGTGTCCAACATGTCTATTAAAAAAATGATATGCACTATGAAAACATTAAATATGAGAATACAAATTTGATATGCCAAAGACAGTTTCAAATGCATAACTCGGTGGGAGCTTAGTCTTCATGTGTACTCTTATATTAACAAAAAATGAAAAGAGTCTAAGATTACACATGGTGATTCATTATACCATACAAGATTTTACCATTAACAAATAAAACCCTGGTCATAAATCTAAGAATAAAGGTGGAAACTGTATCCTTTGAAGTGTGTGTAAGCCTCTGAAGTCTCTCGCCCACACTGATTCTCTGTGTCTGTAAGTATAGAAAATGAAATTAAAAATTCCTTTGGAGTAACAAAAATAAATAAATACATGAAGAAAATGCATATAGACTGCCCTAGCAAACTATGAAACTGAAAATACTGTTACTAACTGGGAGAGTGATTGAAGAAATTCCAAAAGAATTTATCAGTTTCTAACTAAAGTGTTTAGTTATTTTCATTATTTGTCTGGCTTTTTGCTATGTAATTCTAAAACACAACTGGTTAGCTTCAAGATTAGAGCCTGATATGTGCTATGTACCTTTTTTAAAAATGCCATCAGTATTGTGTAAGTGAGTGTGACACAGAGCGCTCTTATTGTAGACTCGTTCTCAGGATAAAATAATTTCCATGTGGTCATTCCTTGTAGATGTTATATTTGTATTGCAATGCAACCTGTTACCGTGACGTTTTTCTTACCAGTCGCATACCGTTAGCAACACTAGAATAGCCTTTCTAAACAGAGACACAGAAAGTTAGCTCACAGAGCTGATATGCATTGCTTCTAGGCTGAGCAACCATGTTTAATTAAAGTTCGTCTGCCTAATGTGATAATTATCTGTTCGCTACTAGTCTAGATTGATAGCAACCTTGTTTATCATTTTTATAATGTAATTGATTCTTCTGCTTGTTATAATCATGTTATATGGTGTTATTAATGGATCACAAAATTGATTGTAAATAAGCTACTAGTATTCTCACATGCATGAAGTTGAATTTCTGTGTTTGACAGTTTTCTTCTTACCAGCTCACTAACATTTACAAATCATATAATTTGCAGTGCCTTGGCTTGTAGCAGCAAATCCAGTAAATTATGGTCGACCCTGTCAACTATCTTGTGTGGAGGCATTATCTGCGGCTTTGTTCATATGGTACTAGAATCTCTTTTCATTACCTTGCAGAAGCTGATACCTTTTTGGTCCTTAATTACACCAGTTCAATCTCTTATGTTTACTTCTTTCACTTTCTTAAAATAAAACTTATTAAAGTTTTATGACTTTTAGGGTTTTCCATAGAATAGCTTAATTATCACGTGATTGTCAATTTAAGCTCTGAACTATTTTTCAGCCAATTTATTCCCTGAAAATGGGCCAACTTAGGATTTGGCGTCTATTTGGCTCAACAGTTTGATCTGTCATCTGCCAGACATGCAGTTGATTTTTTTTCTTAAATGTTTCTTTTATACGATTTTACAGTGGGGAAGAAGAAACTGCAAATTTGTTGCTCGGAAAGTTCAAATGGGGTCATGCTTTCCTGTCCCTCAATAGGTATGTGATTATCTTTTATTGGGTTTTGTATTTAGTTTTGCATATATGTTCATCAGAAATCATCGTCCAGGTAAGAAATTAGAGCTGTGTCAATTCAAACATGTAGCTGACGAAGAAAATGTACAACCAATTAACGAAATGATGTCTAACTTTTTAGGACATGCCTTTAGTATAATTTGGTCATGTTTGAGTAAAGAAAAATGATCTTAGCTAAATCAATATCTTTTTAGTTTTTGAACTTCCAGATTGATCTAGGTTGTTACTCTCTTCGGGATTTTCTTCCTCGGTCTCTGGCCTCACAGTTTCAGACGATTTAGATATTGTAATTCTAGGAAACAATGTAATTTATGACTGACGTCAGGTTAAAAACGAAAGTTCCATACAATCCCAGATTGACTAGTGTTTTCTAATGAGATTAGTGGCTGAAATTCAACTGTATCCAACCGCTTAACGTTCAAGTAATGACCACTTTATTATCATGGTATCAATGCAGGGAACTTCTGAAGGCATACTCCAAATGTGAAAATAGTGCTGAAATAATTTCAGTCCAAAATGATTGGCTTTCACAAACCAGTCAGGTTCCAAAGTCTCCTAGAGAAGTAAAAGGTACTTTTTACTTTTATAAACAGAAAGTAAATTCTTTTTACAAGACATCAGGTTTGATCTGTTGTTTCGACTCATGTCCCATAAGATTTCAGGAGCATTTCATTTGAATCCTTTTCATATTTGTAGGGTCTTCTATTTTACTTTTATTTGTGGTTGTATGCTGCTCGTCAGCCTGTTCATCTTAATACAGTATTGGGTTGGTGGTTGATGAAGGGTGCCCCCTACCTTTTGTTTGGCACTTATTCACAGAGACCTGACCTATCAACCAACATTTGACCCTTTCCTTTGCACCGGATGAGATTGTCTGGTCTTGTGTTGTAAATATTGCTTAAATTCGTTACCAGGTTTTGTAACCAACATAGTACTAAGACTATACACGTTCACTCGGTTTATCTGGGCAACAATTGAGGGTGCCAATTTGCTTAAGTGGCCTTAGCAAGGTGTTTTGCAATTCAATTGAACGGAGGTGATATCTCTCCAAAGAGCATCTTTGTAGGGAAAAGTATGATAATCTCAGCACGTCTGTTTTCTGCTGTTACAGGAGGAGCAGACCTGTCCTCTCTCGGTGAAGATGACGACTCTTGTGATTCCGACGATGGGCTTCCGCCACTGGAAAGGAATATGAATCACTTAGACATACAGGAAAGTGATGAAGAAAGTGATTAACAAAGGATAATGATATGTTTAATCAGCGTGTGATTTTGGCTTTTGATGTGTGTTACCTATTTATATTGCCCGAGGGACGTTTTTTTCTTTGATGTGTATTATTCGGTTTGCGATAGTCCACTTGTGGTATAAGACGCATACCTATTTATTAAATTTATACCTTAGATCTATGAAATATCAATCTTGAATGACTGACTCATATTATAGCACGTGGATTACAAACTAGCTATTGGCTTGCAATTATCGCACTTGAGAGAGGCATTTGAAATAATGCATTAAAGTGCCTCTCAAATTATGATGCGTGGTGAATCATTGACCCTTATTCGCACCTAATAAGTTCACTACTGGGGATTAGCTTCAAGGAAAATTTGAGTTTATCTACAGCTTTTAGAGCATTCCCGCTCCTAAAAACCTTCTAGGCAATGGTCAATTCAATCCACCGAAATGAACAGTAATTGATTGTAATGAACAGTAACTGTCTAAGTGCATCTTCGTAAATTGAATAGTCTAAGCAATTCGTATTAAAAAAAATTTATAAAATAATTTTATTTTTAATTTTAAAAAATAGATTGAATTTTTAACCAATCTCGTCACGTCACATGTCATTATTTGAAATTATAATTTTTTGTTTTATTTTTTCTGTAATTTTTAACATTTTTTTTTATAAATTTTTATTAAGTTAAAAAATCCGGACCGTTGGATTTCAAAACAGCCCAAATTTGGACACATGGCCAACGGTAAGATTTCTAACTTTTTCCTTTTTTTTTAGGCCGAGAAACTTGGACCCTTGATTTGGAAATCGAATGGTCCAGAATTTTGCCACGCCATTAGCCTTTGGTTTTAAAATTCAAATTTTTTTTACTGTTGGAAATCTAATGGCCATCGTTGGAAATCATTGGGATTTTGGGGTTGGGGGGAAGAGGGTGTGGGGAGGGGAATAAATGGGCTGTTCCTTAGGGGATTAAAATTAGGATGAACTTGCTCTTATGGAAGTTCCTATCATTCTTTCATGTTAAGTGAAAAATAGAATAGGCACGAAAAATCTTGACCCAACCACAAATAATAAGACAGAGGGATCTGTTTTGTGATGTCTTCAAGAACAAAATGGTTGATATGTTTTTTGACGAACGACAAGATAATTTACTCTAAATTGATCTAAACTACGAGAACTGAGAGGATTTGAACCAGTGAGTTGATGTCTCAATTTAAATCTGAAAATTCATTGATCCGTAAACGCTTCATATCAAATACAAGATATTCCATTAGTATATACACGATATACCATGAAAAATTTGTCCTTATTTTTGCCTCTCCGCATAGTGTACCAACCATCATTCTTTTATTCATCTTATCACCTAACATGATCCAGTCAAATGGTGAAACGTTTAAACAAAACACACAAGAACATACAATAGACAGTGCATTATCGGATCCGAAATTGCATCCCTCCCGGTATCAAACATTACTTTCGTTCAGCCTTTACAAACATTCATGACAAGCAGAAATTCTATGGTTCTTTAGGTCTCTTCCTTGCTAGATAGCGTTCTCTTGCTGCAGCCACGTCATCTGCACTTCTTTTATGATGATTACTACTCGGTTGGTTTTCTGGCGGCTGTTCAACTGACGGTTTTTCCTGTGCTGATGCATTTGAAGCTTGCTTTTCTTCAGAGAGCTCATCACGACGTTTAGACTTGGTTAATCTTTCATCTTGATGTCCCTCTATCACCCTGGGAGACTCCAACGGCACTGATGCTGCAGCGATTACTCTGTCTTCAAGTTTGTCTGGCTTGCCTGATTCGGTCTGCTTCTCTAGATGCCCCTCTCTCACACTGGAAGGCCCCAATGGCTCCAATGCTACAGTAATTGGTCTATCTCTATCTTCATGTTTATCCGGCCTGCTTAATTCCTCCTGCTTCTCTAGCTTCCTGGACTTCACATTTTCTGCACCAAAAGCAACATTTTTTTGAAGGTTGAAGTAGAAATCAGTCAAGTCTTTCTTCTTGGTAACATCATCTTTCTCCTCCCGAAGTTGACGCAGTCGATCTTCCTCTGCCCATTTTGCTTGCTCTGCAAGTTTCTTTTTGTAAGCACCTGTGACAAAGCGTTCCTTGTCTGCATAGAGGTGATCCTCTTGGTTTCTCTCTTTCTGTAGTTTTCTCTCGTATATTATCTCCTGCTCTCGCTTTCGTTCTTCTGCCTTTCTCTGTATACCAGGAATATACCTTGCCATTCTCTCTTGACGATCTTGCACCCGAGGTTGGATGGCTTTCTGTTTCATCTGGTCATAAACTCCATCGTAGTCGAACACCGACGGATCCTGCTCCAGTGCCTTCCTCTGCTGTTCCTCAATATCCTTGAGAGATTTGTTCTTGGAAGCCTGGCGAGATATTTCCTTCTCAACATCATTGTCGTCGTCATTGTCATCAAAACCCAGAGGTTTAGGGACAGGAGGCCTTGTCGGCTGCTTCTTCTGCTGCCCCCTTAGGTTCAACCCGTACTTAATCATTCTTCTTCTTCTTCCCTCTATATGATGTTCTGCTTCCAAATTCAATCCGCAAAAGGCAGTTAGTTAGTTTCGAATAATTTTGTAGGAGCTATATTGAGAATCAGTTATCGAGGGATTTAAATAGGTGTACAAGCATACACAAACACAATATTCCATATCACATATGGATTCTAATAGTCTTCCTAATTCTAAAAGGACAAGGTGGGTTTTTTATGAGTTAATCCGTAACTCTGTAAATTACAAAAGGCTCCTTCATATAAGATTTATGAGTTAACCCAAAACAATACCTCCTCGATATCTGATCTTTTCTTCTTTTCATTCACTCTAATTTCACAAATTTATGAGTAATCGAAATTGGAGGAGAGAAAACCACATACATCAAATCTTATGCAAAAAAAAAAAAAAAAATATGCGAATCATATCAATGTCAAATGCATCGGAAGAGTACATACGAAACCCTGAACCCAAAATTTTGATGAAGTCCGCAAATCGAATGAAACAGAACAACCAGAAAAAAGCACGAAACCAAAACCCTAGTAGCAAAAACGCATTGCAGGGGAACGAAGAGGTAAAGTAAGTAAGGACACTTACACGAATGAGCGCTTGATCGGCAGCCGCGACGAAAAATCAAAAGGCCTACAAAGAAAGGGGAGCGAACAAATTGAAAACCCTAATTTGACAACGCAAAACCCACCATTAGAGAAAGCATCAGCATCTATGAAGAAGCAAACCCACAAAACAGATGAGAAAGCTAAATCTGTATAGAGCTTCTCCCAATTGGAACAAAGAGACCCAGTGCTGGAATCGGTGTTCGTTGTTTCCTGAAAACAACCAAAACAAAAACCAAAATCCAAAAAAAAAAAAAGAAAATGTAAAAGCAAGTATGTGAGAGAGAGAACGGAAACAAGAAAAATGATTTCTTCCTTAATTTCTCTTTTGATTTGGGAAATTTGGGGGTTTCTCAGAATTTGGGATTTCTAGGGTTCCTTCCCATCCATCTATTTTCGTCGTTCAGATTTCTTCTTCGTTTCTTTCTGTTTGAGAACGGGACGAAGTGGGTTTCTTTTAAATATACGATATTTTTTGTTATTTATTTTCCGGAAATACCCCTTCCCGCAAATCCTTTGTGGCGAAGGCCCGGGGATCTCTGATTGTATGGGTAACGACTCATCGGGCTGAAATGGCAGAACTCAGGCCATTAGGTCATATCCAACTTAGGGTTGGCCAGAGGAATCGTTTTAGCCCTCTGTTCTCCAAGATATTAATATTTTAATAAACAATACAGGATCATATTTACCTTCATCTCCAACCGAGGGCTAAAGGGCCATAGAGCTCGTTTTAGCCCTGTCACAAAAAACAGTCTCCAACTAAGGGCCAAAGGGTCAAAGGGCCAAATATAATTTATTATTTAAAAACTACAACTTAAATTCAAATCCAACGACGTCAGCTAGCCGTTGGATTTAAATTTTTTTTTGCTATAAATAGGGTGGATATTGGGCCATAATTCACACAACTTTGAATTCAATCTATTTCAATTCAAGTTTGCAATGAATTCCAACTTTGGATCCTCTTCAGATTCCAACTGGGGGTCCTCATCCAATTCCAAATTGGAAGAAAAATGGGCGCAAATGAGTAGTATCTCTATAAATGAGTACATGAGGTGCTATAGAATGATACGTTCTCATGCCACAACCAAGTACCTACAACATGATCTTGTTGAACATCATTGGGCCAAAAGAAGCATGGAGTAGGCGTTTAAATTTTATGTTGTTAAATGTTTTTTTTATGTTGTATAATTTTTATGTTGGTTAATATTATTTAATATTGTTTCATATTGTTTAATGTTGTTTCATATTGCTTAATTTAATATTGTGAAATGACGATTTTGCCCCTATTATAGTTGTTTCGTTGTGTGGTTGTTTTGGATTTTGTTTGGTTGGTTTTGGACCACACACACTCTCCCACACCCCCTCACCCTTTTCCCTGTCCTGTATCTCTGTCCCTTTCCCTTTCTCTCTCCCATTTCTATCCCCACATGTACGGACACACCCAAAACCATTGAAACCTTCACAGATCGAGGAAACAAATTACATATTCGTGCTCGTGAGGTCCTTGGGAGTTCAACCATACCCATTTCAGGTAAGGATACCTTCATTTTCACGTCGAACTCGGGATACCCCGATTTGGTCACTGTTCATGCACACGGTAATTCTTGTGTTTTTGGGAATTTCAAGCTTGTAGGAAGCTTGGTGAGGTCCTTAGAAGGCTTGGGGTGGTTCGTTTGAAGGTTTTGGACATCAGGATCGTGAGTTTCAAGCTTGGCCGGCGTTGGTGGTGTTTTCCCGGCGAGATTCCGTGGGTTTTAGTGCTTGAAAGTGGTATGGATTTGTTCCTCTCGTTGTAAGCTTTATTTTGGTACCAATTTTGTGAAATTTGGTTGAAAAACGAAGAAGATACAAGGTTTTAAAGTTTTCCCGATTTTCCGGCGCCGAAGTTTCGCCGGAGAAGATGACGGAATATTCCGTCAGTTTGGACGGAATATTCCGTCAGTTTGGACGGAATATTCCTAACGGCATTAACAGAATCCGTCAGAGTTAACGGAATATTCCTGACGGCGTTAACTGACGCCGTCAATGTGCCAGGCACGTGCCTGCGCATGGGCAGCGCGTGTGGCCGTGCCTTGGCCAGCGCGTGGGGGCGCGTGCGGCGTCAGAAAATTTTTCTAAAAATATGGGGATGTTCCTGAGGTTGAGTAGATCACGTTGGTGTATTCATACACCCCATTTGAGCATTGTATGAGAAGTTATTTCGTGATGTTGGTTATGTGCTTTAAAATTAACGTTTTTATAGTTGTTTCGCATATAGGTGAGACCTATCCCGAGGACGAGCGCGGTCATTCGAGGCAAGGGGGTTACGACCCTTCTACATACCAGTGAGTGGGCTTTTGGTTTTCCGTATATACCTATACACTTATGCTTTTCCCAGAAAGTGAAATGAAACGTTTATACGTTTACATGCCATGCTTATTGTTTGCCATTTATTTACGCATTATTAGTCGCATATGTATATATATGTTTGGTGCTGCGGATGCACAGGTAAGTGCCAGATGAGTTATGATTTATATTTATGTTTAGTAGTGGTTTGAGATGCATAGAGAGCTCATAACCTGCACCCCCGGTGTTAGTGCTCCCGCCCAGAGTTGGGCACAGTCCTTCACGTGATGTTCACCTCCCACACCACACGCTCATCTTGGATCCAAGTTAGGTGCACAGTCCTGTTGTACAGACCACTTTAGGTGGTTCCGACTCGTAGGTGACCCACGATTATTCGCCCAGCCTTCATGTGATCGTAGCACTTGAGCGTACTTATTATACACCCAGTACTGTCGTACAAACCACTCTAGGTGGTTTCGACTCATGTGCAGGTATAGTTAGTGAGTTGGAGATTTAAGCTCTAGATTCAGCCGTACAGGTCACGTTAGGTGACTCCGGCTGACAGATTACATGACATTGATTTGACATTTCCTGAGCACTTGCATTTTATCTTGAGACATTTGGCATGGCATATTTTCTGAGCATGACTTATATATATGTATATTATGTTTTCTGGGAAGTATACAGGTTTTACGGCGAGGGGTTAGAATCTTGTTTATGAAATGGTTTTTGAAAAGCTTTGTTTTTGCCCACTCACACTTTTTGTTTTGCGCCCCTCCAGGTTCTAGTTGGCTAGTACTTGTGGTGGCTCCCTAGAGGATTTTCCCGGCATATCTGACAGATTACCACCAGTGTAGGACCACCTTTGGGTGTGTTTATGTAGTGTTGTTTCTCCCGGACTGCATTAGGTCTTCGAGCTCTGAACTTTGTTTTTCACACTTTCGCTTGCACATGTATGTTCTTACTTTGTGTTAAGCTGGTTTTTATTTATTCGGACTTTTATTATTATTATTATTTTATTAGCTTCCGCACTGTGCACATGGTTACGTCACTTCCACGTGACGGCTAGCATGCCCTGACCTCGGTCTGGGTGTGTCAGTGGTACACTCTACACAAGCTGTGAGATTCTTGTGTTAAAAAATTAATAACATAAAAAATAAAATTTTCCACCACTTATATAATAACACGTGATATACCATTTGTGTTACGAGCACAAGGAAAAATTTCTCCAAGATGACACCCAAACTCAAGAAATTGGATGGAGAACTACATTTATTATTGTAGGTATATGGAAAAAGTGAGGAAATTTTAATTTGGTAATTGAAAACAGCTTTTTAAATATAATTACTAAGAACATATTCTTCTCAAGGTTTTGATCTAAAGAGTCATTTCTAGGTTCATCGTTTTCGGTGCAATGAGTGCTTTTACAGGACCAAAAAGGGTCTAAGTTTCAATCTTTATGAAACTGAACCAAGAATTAAACTATTTATAAAACTTCATCAATAAATAGACATTATTCATGAAACTGGACCAATAAGTAGACATTATTTATGAAATGAAAACAAGAATTAGACATTATTTCCAAAACTAAACCAATAGGTGGAAACTACTTATGAAACTAGATTATATACTATGTATGAAACTGGAGTAAGAACTAGACAATATTTATGAAACATGACCAAGAGCTAGGAACTATTTATGAATTTGGACCGATAACGAGACACTATTTATGGGACTGAACCAAGAAAGAGACACTATTAATGAAATTGTACCAATTACTATACATTATTTATGAAACTAGACCCAATAACTGGACATTATTTATGAAACATGATTAAGAACTAGACCCTATTTATTAAAGTGCACAAAAAACTAGACACTATTTATGAAATTGGACCAATAGATAGTATAGTACTGTTTAGTTTCATAAATAGTGAAGTTTCATAAACAGTGTATAGGACCTGCGCTCGTTAGGTTTTTTTTTTTTATATTTATTTTTTTATTGTGTCATGTTCATTAAAAATTAAGTTTTTTTTGTCCTTTTTATTAAAATTTAAGGGTTTTTCATTAAATAAAGTTATTGCATGATTTTTGGTTAAAATAAACTTAGTCCAAACCCTTTTCATGAAAGTTCCCTAATTAAAATAAATATTTAAAAGGTAATCGGTCATAAAATGTAGCGACAAGTACCCCTCAAGTTGAAATAGATGTTAAAATTCCAAATTGTCAAGTATATTGCTTCGATGTAAAGATGACACACCCTAATTTCGATACCTAGTGAACATTGAAACCAAGGGATGTTGCCATCACCCGGATGGGTGATGAAGGCATAATATGCATGAAAGCATAACTAAAATTATCAACTAATAAAATCTACCAAAAATTTGGCACAACTTTTTTCCTAAGATAGGGATAAGCCCAAATTAAAACACATGCATGTGTTTTAACACATCCCTGAATGACCACACTTAACGGATCTCCGACCCTCTATTATATGCAAAATAGTATGGGCGGGACCATGATTTTTTCAGGACCAGAGTAAGGCTGATCCAAATACAGCTACCTTAGAAGTCTGATCATGGACTCACCAGTTCCGAGTGAAACTGTATCAAATGGAGCAGTTGTGCTGCCATCACCTTGTTTCAGGGCAATATGTGGAGTCTAAGTGATTCCAATGGATGACCATGCTTATCCCGCAAGACATGCGATCTGGTTTGGATATGGACTCAATCAGATCCTATAAGTCTTGGAATTCCTACAATCTAGGAATTGGCCAGTGCCGCAAGTAATCACAACTCCTAAGAGGATGCAATATCTACTTCTAGGCTCTAGGACTATCCCGGCTGAATGAGGAATCTATCCTAAAAAGGTCTCTCTTCCACGATATAAATACACACATCTACGGTTCATCTCGGGGTAACACAATCTAAACATTTCAATTCTCTTGCCCACTGCTTGAATCTAAAATCATTCACTAACTTGGCTGTCAGAGAGCCTTTCGCTGGCACACCTCCCTTTCCTCCCTCGAGCCATAAGCTTGTTTACAATTGTTTACTATTTTGTAGGTTACTCGAGCATGTGCACAACCACCATTCACAACGGTGTGCGAATTTG